GGGTGGCAGCACGGTCGCGGGTGTCATGGCGCCGTTCAAATTTCGTAGCATTGATGTGTAAATAATTAATTAAGTATCTGGTGACAAATACATGTGGTTATAGACGATTTGTTATACAGTAAGTACAGTTGTATGCAGTAAAATCCTAGAGGCTACTTTCCCTTTAAAATTTGTTAGAGGTAGAAGTTTTCGTGCTTACCCATAGGCATGCCTCTTCACTGTGGTCCATTCAGCCTCAATATCCATGGATGAAAAGCCTGAAGTATCCAACACTGGTCCAAAGTAATCTACTATTTTCACAATTTCAGTGTCGCCAAAATCTGCATAATTAGAAAATACAAGCTTAAATTATTTAAACGTTTACTGTTAAACAGCTTAGCTTCTCCAAGCTAATTAAATTTTTGGACATTAGGCTGCATCCTACACTACACTGCAGTGTTCTTGCTCACCTTCGACTCTCTCACCAGGCCAGGATTTGAAGTTCAAGACAGTTGCGGCTGCATCAACAATTGCATCAGGTGTTGAAAACCTATTTTCAAGGCAGCCAACTAAACTGTCTACAGTTTTTATCAGTGTACCATTGGCAGGGGGGTTGCCTAAAAGCTGAATGTCTTGAAGTACCCCAGGTGTGCTCTGGATCTTCCTCAGTTGTGCACCAGGACTGCAAATGCAAAAAATTTGAACATTATTTTGAACATGAAAAATCATTTGGAAGATAAAATCATTAAAACAATTTAATACAAAATTTACCTTTTCACACGCTTCAATGAAGTTGCAGCATCCGATAGCAACTTGAGGACTTCAGCAATTGACATGGTGCGGATTTGTAGAGCGAGGGATAGACGATTCAATATTCGTAAGACATCAGCCAAAAAGTGTGCAAACTCCATGATCTCCCGAGATTGCAAGATCTTCAGGAACCCCTTGGATTTTCCTTTGCTGTCATCGCTGGTTTGTGGATGATGTTGAATCTGAAAAATTAATGAATATTCATGCATGGAAAGAATTTTAAACAATAATATGCTTCAGAATTAATCTCATCTGAAACAAATAAAATTACAGATATGTCAAATGATTTTCAGTGGTTCAGATTAAGAAGAAGTCCTATAATAACAAACCTCTTGCAGGTGCTGAATGATTACTTTGTAACCAGAGAAGAGGTTTTCTAGACCTCGTTCGGTGTGTCCAACCCATCGAGTACCACCAGTTCGAAGTGGAATCATCTTCTTAACATTCAAAGCAGCTGCTGTAGTTCGTAGCAAACCCCGGTTTAAGGTGCTCTTGTGGTAGAACAAATGGAGATTGAGCAAAAGCTCGTCTAACTTCTCATATAGTTTGACTTGTCGCATTGCTGCTTTAATGGCCAGTTCTAGTCGATGGGCACTACAATGCACTACTTGCAGTTTAGGTTGGTTTTCCTTCAGTTGGGCACCTACACCATTTCTGACACCCTGCATGACAGAGGCTCCATCACTTGTAAAGCCAACAAGTTTATGCCAGAGGTCTACTGGGTCAATGTTACACTGTTCATTGAAAGACTGGAGGATGGCACTGTAGCAGTTGTTAGCTGTAGCTCTATCAAGTGTCTTTATTGCAAGGAAATCAGTCTTGATTTCCCCAGCCACAGCATATCTGAAAACAGTAAACAAATTAAAAATAAATCTGATCTCAATATTTGTTTAACATTTTTAACTAGTTAAGAAACAATCTTATCAGGTAAGAATTTGACGGTGCACTTAGTCCTGTTAGTACTTACTTTTAATGTAAAAAATTGGAATTTTTTAAAAACAAATATTACCATACAAAATTCGTGACGTAGTCAATTTAATATTATACCACTTACCAGGTCATTGCTTAAAATTTTACTACCCTGGGAGGGGTCCTACCTGATGTATATGATCAACTGCTCCATGATAGCAGAGTCTGTAGCTTCATCACATGAAATAGAGATAAATTTCACTTTCTTCGTTGTCTCCTCCAGCTTCTGCCTTTCAATTTCGGCAATGGCATCTATGAATTCTCTACACTTGATATCAGTCATGTATGTAGTTCCTATGTCTATTCCTTTTTGTGCATCAAGCTGACACATCCAAACATAGTCTGTGAAAGGCCGACAATGTTTGGCAATTCCATGAGCATTCCTAAACAAGATCGTAAGTCTGTCGAAAGCCTTAGCATTCATCTGTCCTACCATCTTTTCAGCAGGTGTAGTACCGGATGGAGTTTTTGATGCTTAAGCAATTTCAAAAGCATGACCATGGATTTGGCTGATGACATGTTTTTGCAGGCTCTCCAGCCTGAGTGAGTTGCACCCCTTGACAAAAATCTGGTAACGGGTTGGAGAGTGTTTTTCACACACAGTACAGAACATTAGCTTTGTATCTGAATCATAACGTAGCCATGGTTTAAAGGCCAAGTTTTTTTAACCACGAATGTTGGAATTTCCGGTTCCGAGTCAGTTCATATTCTTTGCGTGACTGTATTTTTTTCCTTTTCGAACTCGACTCATCTGTTTTCTTCTTCTTTGAAGTTGGCTCGCTTACATTTTCGAGATAATGCCACATAATTATGTTGCGTGGGGTTGATAATTCTACTACGAATGAATTGGAATGGAATCTTATCTTAATCGATCTATAAACCACTAGAAACTATAAAATTCTATTCCAATTCAGTGCAGTCAGCAAATGATGTCCTCCATGACAGTTTGTTTATCGAGGCAACTGATCTCTATAGTAACTGGCTGGCGAATTACAAATGACAAATGACAAATGAGCGAGTGGGCGTAGAGCGAGTGCGCGCAATACATGTACATACACGTGATGTTATACATTGTATCCTGATTGTATCAAGCAAGCCAGACAATGCGGCTAGACATGTACGTTTGCAGCGTATTGTGCAACCCAGATTTCAAATACCTGAAGCGCTACTGTACGTGTACCGCCAACACTGGTATAGAGAGCTCAGGTTATTGATTTTATAGAGGTTGGACACCGGACAACCACGGAAGCTATTTGTAGTTGCCCGAGAAAAAATCCAGTCGTCACGGACGACCGGACGACTGTTAAAATTGAGCCCTGGACAACTATGTGCTATTTTATTATAATGTCAGTTTGTAACTTTTCATGTACAGTAATATCCTGTATAATACAAGTAATGCATTCCAAAACGAGAATGTTGTTTTTGTTTGTTTAACAAACACTTTTTTTCTATTTACAATTACAAATCACGTATAGGCAAAAAAGTGTTATCATCCTAAGGATGGTGTCTCTAGGCTAGTTTCAGAAACGGACCCAGTACACAGTTCACATGCTTGGTAGCTCAAGCCATAGCACTGACAATAGATGGCCTGAAATTACTTAACATAAAGCAGACGTATATGATGCGTGAGCCCGAGTTCACTTTGCTAGGTGCCAGTGGTGAAGCAAGAATTTTAAATCTTTTGCTCAGTCCAATCACTCTTTCGATGTGTATCCTTTTAGATGCAATTCGCCGATCCCTCGCAATCTCCTCTGGTTCGAGCTGTGACTTTCCCTTTAGCATGGTTGGTGTGTTTACAAATACACTGTGCATGGCAAACAGGTCTTGCACCATAATTCCTCGATCTGCCATAATGCTGTTTCGTTTATTAAAATGTCCAGGCTCTGACAAGAACGCCGATCTTTCAATTATTTGTCTGTCACTTGCTGACCCTCCATATGCGTCAGACGCGAATGAAATTACTCCCCTTGGGGTGCATCCAATCATAGCTTTCAGTGTATTCCGGTTCTTGTAGGATGAAAATGTTGCTGACTGTGCATTAATGTTTGACGGCTTGTTGATGGGTATTTCAGTGGCATCTAGAATAACACGCGTCCTACCAAAATTAGCTCCAAAGCCTGCCGGCATGTGGTCATCAACAGTTTCCCTGGATGGCCAAAAATCCAAGTCTTTCAATTGAAAGTATCTAAGAAAGTGTTTCTCTTCCCGATCCCAGGCTCTACGGTTTAGCAGGTGCGCTAGTGGCACCCGTTTCTTAAGGGTAGTAGCTCTATCTCGGCGATAGAGTCCACGGTAGATAACACAGATAGATAACATGAACTCAGAAATGTAGCGCTACTCTCCATTTGTTGTATTACACCACTGAATATACTCTCTACTACATACTACATAGAAGACTACACATATGACTACACACACACACACAGAAATGTGACCGACTAACAATAATCTCGTACCTTAACTCGTGCTTATCGCGGATAATCACGGAGACGCTCGGCCAGGGTGAAAACGGCAGGCAGCAGATACGTGCGAGGGTACGTGAGGATAGGCGAAGATATTTAAGAGGACTCGTGTGAGGATATCAAGGCAGAATGGAGAAACGGAAAAGTGTGGCTGGGAGAGGGTG